GGGGGGGGGGGGGGTGGGGGGGGGGGTTGGACCAGATGACCTTTAAGGTTCCAACCTAAACCATTCTATGATTCTATGAAAAGTAAGAATCGAAGCAGAATTGCCAAATGCTCCTAAGCTAAGCACTCATTGACTTTGGGGGCTGCTACTAGCTTCACTGGAACTTAACTACTTAAATTGTAAGCCAACAGTCTTAAAAAAGATTCTTCTAGGTCTGGTAAAAGTCCTACACTGTAATGAGAATCTCTTCAAGAAAACCTTGTCTTTACCGAGATCTGAAATACCACAACTATCACTAAGCTGGGAGCAGGAAGCAGCCACCGTACCGCTGACACAATGCTGCAAAAAGACTCTTGCAGGACAATTGCCCCAGAAGGTGCGCTCTATCTTTAAGACCAGGAAGTAGCAGAAGACCAAGTTCAGAAAGGCAGAATGTCAGTATGTCCTAAACCTAAAATCCCACAGCAAGCACTGAGATTTAAATGCTTACTTAAATTCACACTCACACGGAAGTGCTGTCTACATGGGAATGGATGTTAGCGTGTACTTACATACAGCTCTCCCTCCGAGTTGAACGTTAGGCCGGCTCTGCGGCTGAGACTCGGCACCTTAAGCCCACAGGAAGAAGGCTTGGCATTATCTTTGGTTTTCATACAGCTCTTGTCTCTCCCTGGTGTTTCAGAATCAAAGGGCCTGTACTTAACCTACTGTTTAACATTTCTCTCCTGTCTTTCTTTCCACAGTATGTGGCATTTGCCTCCCTATTCTTCATTCTGGTCTCCATCACCACCTTCTGCCTCGAGACTCATGAGAGATTTAACCCCATCGTGAACAAGACAGAAACTGAATTCATCGGGAATGACACCCAGGTGCGGCACTACAGGGAAGCAGAGACTGAAGCGTTTCTCACCTACATTGAAGGTGTCTGTGTGGTCTGGTTTACATTCGAGTTCTTGATGAGAGTCACTTTCTGCCCAAACAAGGTGGAATTTATCAAAAACTCTTTGAACATCATTGACTTTGTGGCCATACTGCCTTTCTATCTAGAGGTTGGACTCAGTGGCCTGTCTTCCAAAGCTGCTAAGGATGTCCTGGGCTTCCTCCGCGTAGTCCGTTTCGTGCGAATCCTGCGAATTTTCAAGCTGACCCGCCACTTCGTTGGGTTGCGGGTCTTGGGACACACTCTCCGCGCCAGCACAAATGAATTCTTGCTGCTCATCATATTTTTGGCATTGGGCGTCTTAATCTTTGCCACGATGATCTATTATGCCGAGAGAATAGGTGCTAAACCAAATGACCCTAGTGCCAGTGAACACACACACTTTAAAAATATCCCCATCGGCTTTTGGTGGGCTGTTGTCACCATGACGACCCTGGGCTACGGAGACATGTATCCTCAGACTTGGTCAGGCATGCTGGTGGGGGCCCTCTGTGCTCTCGCTGGCGTGCTGACCATTGCCATGCCTGTCCCTGTCATTGTGAACAATTTCGGAATGTATTACTCCTTAGCTATGGCTAAGCAGAAGCTACCAAAGAAAAAAAAGAAGCATATCCCGAGGCCACCCCAGCTGGGATCCCCCAATTATTGTAAATCTGTCGTAAACTCTCCACACCACAGTACTCAGAGCGACACTTGCCCACTGGCCCAAGAAGAAATTTTAGAAATTAACAGAGCAGGTAGGAAACCTCTTAGAGGAATGTCCATCTGACCGTTAACCTCCATCCCGCGTAGTGATTTAAGATTCAGCCAGACTGCTTTCTTAGAGCAATGGGTAGCACATTTATCCATTCTAGTCCCACCATCACACAGTGAATAATATGTGTGAAGTCTAGGTTGCAGGGACAAATGGTACAGTGGAGGTTGATCAGCAAAACTAAGGATGAGAGCACGCTCTAGGAGCCCAAACTTTGGTCCTGGTTAAGGGCAATACAAGTCTCAAGATATTGTGAAGAGCTGTTACATCTAGTGGAAGAATTTTGAGAGTTCTACAGCTATGTTGCTGGACTGTGTAATGCATCTCAGAGGCCCCTGAGAGCTGAATGCTTCATAGAGCAGAGTAGGAGCCAAGTACTCAGCAATTACAGAGTTTTCTGACAAAACAGGGCTGGAATTTGAAACAGCCAGATGCTTTCTCATTTGTTCCCGTTTGGGACCTTTCAGCTATTTTAAATGGCAGATATTGTACATCTCATTACAGAAACTAGGTGCCTAGTAAGTTGAAGGGACAACTATATACCATCATGCATATTCATGAGACATTCCTGTCTCTTTCTGATGATTAACTGCAAAGTAGAACAACAGCTCAAATTCTTGACACTAATGCAAAATGACTCACTCTGAGACAAGACTAGATGTAAGGATATTTATTCCATGGCATGCAAATCAATCTATTCTATAATATTCCACTAGAATTTAGCATTTAGAACTACGAAGAGTTTTGAACCACTTTTTCTAAAACATGCTCCTTTTGCAAGTATGGGTTGGTGAGTTACAGCTCTTTCAACCTTTTAGCAGCAAAGGCCAACTGGAAAAGGTCTGACTGGTCATGACTGGCTGGTCTGGCCTAAACGGTGATCGCCTCATAATGCAGTATTCTTATTTTTAATTACTTTGATTCATGTTAGCAATAGGTGAAACCAGAGCAAAATTAATCATACTAATTCTGCTGGGAGCGGGGAGGGAAATGGAAAAAATACTAGTCACCATGGAATATATTATAATATCCCATGGCTAGTGGTTAATTATGGGAATATCTCAGTTTTATGAGAATCCTCCTATAGCACAAAGTTACGGGGCTCCAATTTGATTATTTAAACCCCATAATCTACCTCTACCCATGGAATATCACTATTTATTCTATGGAGTAATTTCAAAGTAGATGACCATGTTGAAAACAAAGCCAACTTCATTTTTGGCAGATGTTCCAGCCAAGTTGCGTAGTAGACATTCTTCAGCCTATTCAGACTATCCCTCCTGTGTTGTATTAGAGAGAACAGGTCACCAGACAAGTGATTTTAACTGACATCTAGTCAAAAAGAGATGTTTTGAAAGAGCTAGCATATACCTATGATGGTCTTGTGTTATCATTTTTTTACTTTGAAGAAAATTCTAATTTGTTACTCATTGTGAGTGAGGTGTTCTTCTCATCTCATAGCCATGCATGTTGATGTCATTGTGAGAGGCACAAAGAAAATTAGACTTTCCTTTGTGTGTGACTTCACCAATGCCAATGCTAATTTTGGAGGGGAAGAGCTGGTGGGAACCTTTCTCTTCTGTTCTATTCTCTCTTTTCTTATTTCTTTTCCCTTTTGTGCAACTATGTAAAATCCCTTCAGAAGGTAAATAGCTTTCATTTTTTTGTTAAAGGCTACTCCATTGCAACAGGCCAATCACAATTCACGTGACCGATAGACTGTCTCTTTTCTATTGTATCTTTGGCGCACAAGCGTACGGTTTTATCATCCATTCCCCTCAGGTTGCAAATGCTTATCACAACTCATGTCCAAGCAGCAAACTTCCTCACAAGTAGATGTCTTTGTGGCATCATGTATCAAGAGGGAAGGAGGGCACAAACAATATCACGTGTCTCCTCCTGTGAGCAATATGCCAACTACCCAGCTGAAATGTCCAAGAGATGCCAGACTCTCGAGCAGTTTAGCGGTCAGCTACAGAGTAACTTCCTTCTCAGAAATCCCTTGCTTTACAAAGTTCCTTCAGTTACCTACCCTAGTCCTCTCTGGGAACTAGAGGACTAAGAACTCTACGAGTTCAGTGCCATTCCACACTGGTATCCTGAGAATACGTGTAATTTTGGTTCAACGTGGAACTGTTTTGCCACCATCAGTGCTCTAAAATCAGCTGTTACCACAATATCCATGAAGTATTGATAGTAACAGCAATATATCTATTTCTGCAATAATTAAGAAAAACTATTTTTATATACGTATACAAGCATATATATTTTAAGAAGTATCAAAGCACACTTATACTTCAGCTAACAAAATGGACTCAGTAGCACTGTTGCTGGAGTTCTGTTTCTGATAATTATTATGTACCACTAGCAGCAAAAAATATTGCCTGCATCTCTTAGTTTCCTAATAGGGAAGGATCTATATGTGTGCAAGAGAAAAGTAAAAAACAATTAGTAAGATCAGAACTGACCTGTTAAAACAAGATCTGCGTTGCCTTGGATGCTGAGGCTCACTTAGGTAATACGAAGCATTCACGGGCACTGACTTGATCCTGAAACCATAACCTGCACATTATATGGAAACAGAGATGTGCAAGCAGTGAATGCTTCCCCCACTGTAAAATACTGGGATCAGTTAACAGCGCCTAACGGGAAACAAGTTAGCATTGTACTAGCAACACAGAATGGGTGCCTAACATTTCTAAAATGATGCCTGAGTTGTCCAAGATATTTCTTGTAATTTTTAACTGTAAAGTTTCAGTGTGACAGTGTCTAGATGATATAAGGTCCTACGATGTATATCTAATACATTACTCCCAAAAGAGGCTGTTTAGCTGCTCAGGTGTAAAGGACATCACATGGAGTTATTAATTCCATATATGATGTGTGGTGGAGTGATTAAACACTTGACAGAACAGTGATGAGTATGAAATAGTTCCACCATCCCCCTATAGCGCTCTCACGCACTGAGTCAGCGGCTTGCAGCTGTTCCCGGTCCATATACCCGGGGCCACGGGGGCTCCATGGCGAGCTCAGCACAGCCGCAGCCTGGTGCCGCCACTCAGGCGAAGGAGCACGTTCCTGGCACGGACATGCAAACAGCAGAACGGTGCCCACAGGCTGCACAGCTGCTGCCAATGATGCTATCGTCATTTGCAGGCAAAGCAAAGATGATTTGAATTTAAATTCCAGTAGGTTTGAATTACATTTTTTAATTGTCCCCAACACTCGCAGCAGCTCAGTCCTGGGCTAATCTACACCTGGCAGGAGGGTATCTTTAAATAACAGCACTTCGTTTTAATTTGATATAAAGAATGTTAGAGTTTGACTTCACTATGCCTCTCCTTTCTGCAGCAATCCTTCCTGTTCTCCATCCTGTCTGATCCCATCAAGGAGTGGCTGGGAAAGCAGCAGAAGGGGAGGAAAAGCCCTTCAGAGCAGAGGATGGCAGAGCTACTGCTGCAGGCAGGCCTTCACCAGCCACATTAAGAAAGCAGAGATTTCCTCTGTGCAAAAAAATCTTCTCCAAGGCAGTTTCTGATACTCATAAATTCTCAAGATAGTGCTTATATAGTGCCTGAAGGAACGGGGCCTGATACAGAAGGGCCAATCTTACCTGATCAATTTGACTAAAACTCCTTGGCCCCGTGATATCTCAGACTGCAGAGGCCCAGCTGTGCCCTCACTTAAAATACACACACCAAGTTCTAGCATCATAATGACCAAACTATTCACTTTGCTCTGTTGCAGTGTTTACGGGCCCCATTCAAGATGAGGGCTTCATTTTGCCATTGTTGTATAGTTGACTACCACTACATTTCAATCAAACACCTGGCACACTAAGTAGGCAGCAAAGACAAAACAGAAGTAATCTCCAGTATTTTCATTTGACACATGGCTTAATTTAAGTAAGCAAGATCACAAAAGTTCTGTGGCAAAGCTTGCCTGATCTGCTCGAGAGGTGGCGTCCCTGGTGACAGGGAGGCTGGATTAAAATTATCTCTAAGGTCCCTTCCAGCCTAGGCCGTTCTATGAAACTATGAAAGCCACTAGCTGAACATAACTAAATAAGCATCAGTCAACTGTAGTCTGCTACAAACCAATACCTTTTATCTAATGGTTTCTGAGTATTCTGGTTAGTATTGTAACAGAAGTGAAATAGAAAAAACGTAAAGCAAAATTTGTTTCCAATAGAAGCAAAATAGAAAAAGCCAGTTTCAAACAATCAAACTTCACCAGTTTCTGTCTGAAACCACACATTGTCCTACAAGTTTAAGTAATTTATGTCAGTACACAGAGTGAAATACTTTAAGGTACAAGTTTGTACAAAAACCTGAAACCCTGCAAAACAAATCTTGAAAGCTCTCATTTTTGTTTTGAAAGTGTTATTTGGCTCTTCAGTCCCTCTCTTCTGTGAGCTATGTGCTTACCTGAAGGATAGGTTGACAGCACGATTGCCTCTTAAAGTTGCCATAGGATGAAGCAGTGAATGTCATTTTCCAACACTGTAAAGAAAAATAGAGTATGAATGGAATTCATAACTTCATTTGATGTCTACAGTAATGTCTGGTGCCACAGAGCAATGGTCTTAAGAATACATCCATAATGCATAAGCACAGATGATGATTATTTTGGGTTTGTTCAGAGATTTAGCCCAACCTCTTATTGTTTTCATATACATATTTATAACACCAGCACACACAGTGTCTATATTGACTTTAATATGGCCAAAACAAGAATTTCTCAGCTTTCTGATCTCCTCTGTCTGAAGCTGCACTTAAGCTATACTCCAAGGATATCATATCTTCACACAAATATATTGTGCAGCTTTTTTCACAGCGTACTGATGGCAAAAATCTCTACTCTTTGCACAGCTGTAAAATACAGAAGAACTATTACTAGACTTGAGGTGCCTAAGATGAGAGGGGAAATGTCTGTCATTACTAATACAGTCTTTAGCTTCAGAAGAACTTCTGTGATTGTCTC